TAAATATGGTAGTTATTTTAAATTTACATGAATATTGGGTTTGTCCCTGTTTTCCTTTGTTTCCTAGGTATTATCCAGTTTTGTAAGGAAAACACTTTTATATCACAATCAAAACTTGTCTTGGTTACTAGACTGTATCCTTAATTGGGTTACAGTCATTTAAAGATTCATTATTTGGAATTATACTAAGGCAGAACTAAATGAAACTTATCTCCTAGAAGAATTTCATATTTGCATTTACCTGCACTGCAGAATGGGATTAAGCAATATTTTAGCTGTTAGGAAATATTTTACTTAAATAAACTTGTTATCTTTGACTACTCAGAACTCCTAGAGTAGTCAACTTTACCTTTGAATTTTCCTTAAACTGTATTCTCATTCATTCCAAGTAGTTTTTTAAATAGAAGTTAGACTTCATTAAGGTATTAACTTTAAATCTGAAAGAAAATTAACGTACTGAAAATTTGACAAGTTCATTAAAAATTTTAGCATGTCTTGATACATTTACTTATCAGCTTTTTAATTCTTCCTTCTGCTGGCATTTCCTTAATGTTTGTTTGTTTCACCTCTCTGGTTCATTGGATTGCTACTATTTATGCTTTCATGAACTTTTTCTTCACAGTTTACTATATCTTGGAAAGCCTTTTCCACATCTGCTTGACCAGCCATACTTGCTGTTTTTGGCAAGGTCATCTGCAGTGCGCACCATAGAGTAGTGCGTGCTTTCCGAGTAGCCACACACATCTCTTTAATTGCTGAAGCAAGGGCAAAAACATCTGTAAAAGAAAATAGTCATTTCATATTAGATAGCATTTAAATATCCCTTAACTCTTTTTTTTTTTTTTTTTAACGGTACTGGAAATTGAATCCAGGGGCACTCTACCACTGAGATACATCCCCAGCCCTTTTTATTTTTGGAGGACAGGGTCTCACTAAGTTGCTCAGGGCCTTACTAAATTGCTGAGGCTGGTCTTGAGCCTACCATTCTCCTGCCTTAGCCTCCCAGGTCCCTGGGATTACAGGTATGTGCCACTATGCCAGGCTTCAAGCATTACTTTTATAAAAAGAAGGATGGCTATTAATTGTGCTAACTAAAGCACTCCGTTTTTAAAATATTAAAAAGTATTGTTAAATTTCTTTCTGGCTTGTGCTACAATGACTATGCTCTGGGTAAAACAGATTATCTGAAGACAGGTATTACAATTCAATGGATAAAATTATACTAGAAAATACTACTTTTGGAATAAATAAGTGTGGAGGTCATTTACCACTCCCCTTTTCTTTCAGTAATGGAACCCAGGGGCGTTCCACCACTGAATTACATCCTTGGCCCTTTTCATTCCTTTTTTTTGAGATAAGGTTTCACAAAATTGCTGAGCCTGGTCTTGAACTTGCAATCCTCCTGTCTTAGCCTCCCAAGTAGCTGGAATAACAAGTGTGTGCCATTGAGCCCAGCCCCAATTTGCTCTTTAGATAAGTGTTAATTTTAGAAATCCAACCTTTTAATCCCAGAATCTGGTTTTATTAACATTGAAATTATCACATAGCCTTGTAAAAAGAATCTGCATTAATATTTGTACCTCTTTCATCTTGGCATCTAGGCACTCCTTGCCTTTGCCGATTTGAAGCATTAACAATTTCATCCTTTCTACGTGACTGTACAATGTGAATGGATTCCAAGTGTCTAACAAGAGCAGTAGAGATATTGGCATGAAGGGGAGAGCTTTGAAGACGTTCCATTTTGCCTAGTAAAGTCACAACCTGAGGGAGACATTTTAAATTTTGATAAGGCATGTAACCACTTGACCTGACCAACTTAAATAAAAACAAATCTTCATCGGGAGGCTGAGACAGGAGAATCACGAGTTCAAAGCCAGCCTCAGCAACAGCAAGGCACTAAGCAACTCAGTGAGACCCTGGTCTCTAAATAAAATACAAAACAGAGCTGGGGATGTGGCTCAGTGGTTGAGTGACCCCTGAGTTCAATCCCTGGTACCACCCCCCCAAAAAAAAAAAAAAACTTCAGTGAAGCATAATAGAGGTAAGAGCAAAAAAAGTCATTCAATAAATAAATGAATGTTTACTGTATCCTAGGACCATGCTGGGAGAAACAAAAAATGGAAAAGTTATACTTTATGTAAAGGAAAAGAATTTGAATTAGAAGTAGGTAGCAAAAAATACAAAGGGAGTACCAAAAAACAAAGCAAACTCCAGGGAATTAGTAATTATGTATTTCTAAATAAGAGTTCATGGTAAAAGAAAGAAATGGATACTCAATAATAACAGACTTTATTACATTTATTTTCCTAATCCCTAAAAAGGCATTTATTCAGTTATAGTTATGGCATGTTTTTCCCCACAGGTACCTTTTGTCAAATTTTATTTTTAAAAAGAACAAGGTGGAAAAAGGAAAAAAGGATAGCTACTCTAAGTTGCTTAGAAAATTCTGAAATTAAAAATAATAGGAACATTGCTCATTAAATTACAATGTGACTTAACATCAGGATTCTTTTTTTAATATTTAGTATTTTTTTATTTGTAGATGGACACAATATCTTTATTTTATTTATTTATTTTTATGTGGTACTGAGGATCAAACCTAGTACCTCATGTGTGCTAAGCAAGCACTCTGCACAACCCCAGCCCAGGATTCTTTATATTTGTTTGAAGTGACAGTACTCTTCCAAAACAAAGGTACTTTGTAAAATTATCTATACCTACTTATCTAGCTTATCAGTATTTAATACATTGATGGATATACTTTAAAAAATTTTTAAGTTATAGATGGACACAATACCTGTATTTTATTTGTTAGTGATGCCGAGGGTTGAACCCAGTGCCCCACACATACTAAGCAAGCACTCCACCACTGAGCCACAACCCCTACCCCTTAATGGATACAGTTAATGTTTGTTGAATAACTCAAGAATGCAGGATTAAGAAAATGGAATAAAAATTAAAAATTGAAAATGAAAATCAAATATGGTAATTCCCTCTTAACTTATTATCATCACTAAATTAGAAAACAAATATATATGTACATATATATTTATTTTTTTTATTTTTGTGATACCAGGAATTGAACTACTATGCTATATCCCCAGCCCTTTTTATTTTTCATTTTGAGATAGAGTCTTGCTAAGTTGCTTAGGGCCTCCATAAGTTGCTAAGGCTATCCTACAAACCTATAATCCTCCTGCCTCAGTTTCCCAAGATGTTGGGATTACAGGCACGTATCACCATACCAAGCTGGATTTTACTTTTAAAAACATACTTTCTGCTAGTTATGGGGGCACAAGCCTATAATCCCAGCTTCTCTGGAGGCTGAGGCAGGATGATCATAAATTCAAGGCCAGCTTGGAAAATTTAGTGAGACCCTGCCTCAAAATGGAAAATAAGAAGGGCTGGGGATGTAGCTCAGTGGTCGAGTGTCTCTGAGTTCAGTCCCTGGTACCTTGAAAAAATAAAAAATAAAAATTCTGTGAGAGTTAGTTTCATTGCCAAAATAAGGAAAAAAGTGAGTTTGAAGAGGAACCAATTAAATTACTCAAATTACTTTAAAATTTTCCTTTTCCTGAATATTAATCAGAGTTCTTTCTAGAACCAAACAGAAAAGAATATTTCAGAGTTAACATACTAATGTTAATTTAAAATGCTTCAGGGGCTGGGGTTGTAGTTCAGTGGTAGAGTGCTTGCCTAGGATGGGTGAGGCCCTGGGTTTGATCCTCAGTACCACATTAAAATAAATAAATAAATAAACAACAAACAAAAATTAAATTCTAAAAAAAAAATCCTTCAGAACTTTACGTGCTGAAAAGTTTTAAAATTTTAACAAGCAATTTAAAACTCCACTATTGTAAGTTTTTATAGCTTACTCTGGCTTGTTCTCGAAGTTCATTCACAATTAAGCGATCAACTCTAGATGGGTTGGAGGTCAGCCTTGGAAATGGAGTATTGTTAGTACTGGATACTTTTTTCCCTGGATAATTCTTGGCAAGAGCTAATTCAGTCTGTAAAAAAATGTATATAATCATTAGATGCTGAATTTCCTAAATATAATTCAACTGTGAATAATATTTTTCATAGTCCTAAGAAATAAATGGAAAATTACTCCTTTAAATAAAAATTCTGATTTGGTATTAAAAGGCAATAAACATAAACCACAGTACCACAGTATCTTTCTGTTCCAATACATATGAAATAATTGAATACTCCAACAATTTAATATTGATAGAATTCATACAGGCGTGGTAGTACACGCCCGTAATCCCAGCAATTTGGAAGGCTGAAGCACAAGGATCACAAGTTCAAAACCAGCCTCAGCAACTTAGTGAGGCCCTAAATAAAAAACAAAAAGGGCTGGGGATATGGCTCAATAGTTAAGCACCCATGGATTCAACCCCGGTACCAAAAAAAAAAAAAAGAAATAGAATTCAAAGAAACTTAACCCAATAAGAGAAACAAATATACTTCAGAGACAAATTTTTTTTACATATGTACTTTTTAGTTTTAGATGGACACAATACCTTTATTTTATTTATTTTTATGTGGTGCTGAGGATGAACCCGTGCTTCACACATTCCAGGCAAGCACTCTACCACTGAGCCACAACCCCAGCCCCCAGAGACAAATTTTTAAAATTAGAATATGGATAACAGTTATTTTTAAAACTCAATCTTTAGTCTTTAAATAACCTAGATAATTCTTTATAGTTGTGAACCTAAATACTATACATTATAGAAGAATTCAGCTTAAAAAAAAAAGTACTTTTTTCTTGTTACTAGAAAATGAACCCAGGTACTTAACTACTGAGCCATATCCCCAGCTCTTTTTTATTTTGAAACTGGTTCTCACCAAGTTGCTGAGACTGGCCTCATTGAGATCCTCCTGTCTCAACCTTCAGAGTCACTACGATTATAAACATGTGCCATCACACCTGGCAAGGCAAATATTTTTGAACTACACACCAAGGTAAAGTAAAAATTGGCAGAGGAAATATACTAAATTACTCCTAAATGGATAACTGTTACCTTTTTTCTCTCCTTTTCTAATGCTCTCCATTGTTCATAGCACTCTTCTAGACGAATACGAAGTTCACTGGCTGGTCCACTTCGAGTTTTAATTGGTCTTTGAAATCCAAAAGTTGGCACGAAACCAGAAAAGGAATTATCACCATACATCATATCATTAAAATAAGGGTATAAATGGCTTAAGTCATCATAAGAAAACAAATCATAGGAATCCAACAGTGGAACAACTGAATGGCCAAATGGGTGGGTGGATCTTAGGGGAAACCCATTTGAACCAAGTTGTTGAAAACCCTGATTATGCCTTAAATCTCCCATCATATAATTATTAGAAAAGCATGATGCCTGTGTGCGATTCACACGGCTATTAATATTGCTGTCTCCACTTCCTTGTCGGTGGCTATTAAAATGACCCTGTGACTCCAACAGATCTTGATATTTGTTTTGAGATAAGCCATCTAAATGCTTCGGACCTTCCTCAGGATCATAATGTCCACTCTGGGGCTTGGCTTGAAAATTATGTTTGTTTACATTTTCAATGATCCCATACTGCTGAGCTGAATAATTATCACAAAATCCATTTGGCTGCTTTATTTTTTTATCTGTAACCGATTCAAAGAGATTTTCTTCTCCAGTCTTTGTCAGTCCTTCCATGTGATTGACAGATTGAATTCTTTCTGCACCATTGTAACTGAAATCAAAACTAGAAAATGCTGAAGGGTTTTCTTGGCAATACTTCTGAAATAAATTGCTATTTGGGGTTAAATTTGTGGATGATAGTTGGGGGAAATCTGAAGAATGGTTAGAACCTTTTGAAGCTGCACTTAAATGACTATTTAATTTCATCAAGTTACCTTGATTTCTATAAGGAACAGGAGTGTTATTTTTTGTTTGAATATTCATCCAAGTTGGTCTGTTTAAATTGATACCTCCTGAAGATGTTGCTGAGTTTGATAATAAATTCACTGATTTAAAATACTCAGAATTTGGGGGATCAGGCTTATCGAATTGTTGCTTTTCTGTGACATTAGCAAAATCATTATTAGCTGGACAAGCTGTGTGAGGTTTTAGTCCATACTCTGATTTTAAGCCAAAATCAGCTGTGAATGCTGCTGCTTCCTTTGCAAACTGTTTTTCAGTTAAATGTGGTGTGGTTTTTGGAAATGTGAAATTCTGCTGGTCAGGCATTGTCTCCTCCATTTTTTTCTGATTTGCTGGTTTAACCTGAAATAACTTTGTATAGGCATCTGCTTCTACAGTTGGTGTTTCGGGTGTGCCACTGGCTAATTTTTTACCATCCTGGACACTAAAATTTGAACATTTATTAAGCTTAGCCTTGTTAGGATGAGCATATTCTGGGTATCTACAATAATCTGCATTTTCATTGTATCTATTAAATTGGGAAAGAAATATCTCTGCTCTTTTTTGTTGTAATGGTGCTTCAAGACCTTTAGCACATATTTTCTCTCTTCCATAAGGGTAAGTATCAATTCCTGATTCTTTCATGATATCAGACAGACCAGTTTGTGGTGTAAAACAGTTTTTGATAAATGGATATTCTTGGAATGTTGCCTTAGCTGTATCATTTGTCTGAATATTGTAACAGTTAGAATGATCACTTCTTGAGGGGTATATCCATTGTTCTTCAAGGTCTAATCCAGTAAATCCATGATAAAGTTTATCTATTTTTTGTTGTGGTGTGAGATTACTATTATGCAAGTATTGCTTTTCCACTGCTGACACAGATTCACCACTATAAAAGGCTTGCTGAGAGATAGCTATATCTATTGGCCTTTTGGTTTCTGTCAAGAGATCATGGTGATCTACAAATCTGCTTGTGTTCATTGGCCAAACTGACTTTAAATTGGTCGAGCAGGTCCTAGAACAAGTAAATATATTTAATTACAATTTAAGTTTTAAAGACTATTTTCTCAGGGAAAAAGGCAGGAAAAACTCTCATAAACATTTATCTTCCCCCTACCCTCACCATTTTCAAATATTTTCCAACCCTGCCTTAAAAGCTGCCATTAACTCCAAATAATTAACATGTGAAATACGCTATATGCTCTGTAAATATTCGTGCTCCAAATAAAGTTATATCTATCAATGACAGACCACATATGTCAGAGATTAAGATTATAATAGAGCTAAAAAGGTCCTTCTGCTTAGTGACATGTCAGAACCATTATAACATCCCCACAGCACAAGACATTGCTCACATATTTGTGGCATTGCTATAAACAAACCAACTGTACCACCACCAGTCACATAAAAGCACAGTGCATTTAATCATGCACATTATAAAACAAGACAGTGATAGTGTCTTTAACTGGTTTGTGTGTTCATTCTTCTATGCCTTTTATTGTTATTTAGAGTGTTATACCACAAGCAGCCTCTATATCTTGTGGTTACAATGTCTATTGATTGCATAGGCCATGTTGAGTGAGTAACCTATACCATCTAGAGGGTGTGTAGGCACACTCTATGTTTATTTACATGAAGGTGATATAGCAACATATTTCTCAGAACCTGTCCTCATCCTTAAGCAACATGTGACTGTATGCATTTTAATCTTTTGTTGTTGTTGTTTTGGTACTGAGGATTGAATCCAGGGATGCTCAACCACTGAGCCACATCCCCAGCCCTTTTTTCTTATATTTAGAGACAGGGTTTTGCTGAGTTACTAAATGCTTCACTAAGTTGCTAAGGCTGGCTTCAAACTTGCAATCCTCCTGCTTCAGCCTCCTGAGCTGCTCGGATGCATTTTAATCTTTTTTTTTTTTTTGGTACCAGGGATTGAACTCAGGGGGGCAACTCAACTCCTAAGCCACCGCTCCACTCCTATTTTGTATTTTATTTAGAGATAGGGTCTCACTGAGTTGCATAGCACCTCACTTTTTCTGAGGCTGGCTTTGAACTCTCGATTCTCCTATCTCTGCCTCCCAAGTCACTGGGATTACAGATGTGCGCCACCATGCTCAGCACATTTTAACCTTTTTTTCTGGTGCTGGGGATTGAACCCAGGGCCTTGTGCATGCGAGGTAAGCACTCTACCAACTGAGCTATATCCCCAGCCCCACATTTTAATCTTAGTATGTCTTCACTGTACTTTCCCAAGAGGCCTACTGCTGGCAACTTCAATGTCTTAGATGAACTGTTTATCTATGGTAATCTAGTATTTTGTAATGAAAACAGATGTGTTTTGCTGTAATTATTTTGAAATTAAAACAATTTAGTTGGCTGGGATTGTAGCTCAGTGGTAAGAGTGCTTGCCTAGCATGCATGATGCACTGGGTTCGACCCTCAGCACCACATAAAAATAAATAAAGATATTGTGTCCAACTAAAAAAAAAATTAGTTGACCTTGCATGCACAAGGTCCTGGGTTCAATCCCCAGCACCACACAAAAAAATTTTTTTTAGTTGATTACATGTGTGTAGCATATTTCCCTATTTATGAATAAATTGGATAATATGGCTTCCACACTCAAATAAAACAATTATAACATACTTAAAAGGCTTCTACCACATGAATAAAACTCATGTATTTCTTCAATGAGTAATGAGTTTTATTCTTTGTGATATATACATATATTATACACACACACACAAGCAACATGTGACTGTATACATTTTAATCTTAGTATGTCTTCACTGTACACACACACACACACACACACACACACGTCTTTTTTTGGTACTAGGGTTGAGATTGAGGGGCACTTGTTTAACCACTGAGCCACATCCCTAGCCTTTTTGTTACTTTGTTTTTAAAATTTTTTTTCTTTTAATATTTTTTTAATTGTCAATAGACCTTTATTTATTTATATGTGGTGCTGAGAATCGAACCCAGGGCCTCACACATGCTATGCAAGCACTCTACGTCCTAGCTACAACTCCAGCCCTTAATTTGTTATTTTGAGACAAGGTCTCACTAAGTTGCTTAGGGCCTTGCTAAATTGCTGAGACTGGACTTGTGATTCTTCTGCCTCAGACTCCCAAGCCCACTGGGATTACATACCCAGCGGGAATTTATATTCTTTAAGCCAAACTTTTGCTCATGAATTCAAGGGAAATAGCTCTGAATTATATAAGAATAATTTTTTCAAGTGAAAGTTCTTAAGCAAATTGAACCTAAGGCTGAATTTTCAATTGTATGGCAAGTACTTTAGCAAAATCAAGGCTTCTAGAAACAAATATTTGAATTAAGAAGTCAGGGGCTGGAGTTATAGCTCAGTGGTAGAGGGCTTGTCTAGCATGTGTGAGGCACTGGGTTCAATCTCAGCACCACATAAAAATGAATAAATAAAGGCACTGTGTCCATATACAAATTAAAAAATATTTTTAAAAAAGAAGTCTACAGTCAGAGGATTATTAAATAAACATTAAAGTTAATAATAGAGTAACCTAGTATATGTGAATTTTAAAATTATTGTACAATACAAAGGTATATAACATACTAACCCTTCAGCAAAATATGGCTGTGACTTATCTTGTTCTTCCAGAATGTTAGACACAAGTCCATATAAGTCTGTTTCACTGCCATAGTCATTTCTTTCGGTTTGAATCCTAAAAATAAATATCATATATAAACTATTTTATTCATGTTAAAATACAGCATGTTGATTTCTCCTTCCAGACATATTCTATCATAATTTTTATAAGATATTTGGTCTGACTCTATGTATCATTATTTCAAATAAGGGGGAAACAAGAGCTCAAGAATATATTCTACTTTGGCATGGTGTCTATCCTACATAAATATTTCTCCTTCATTTCAAATTCTACATCTAGTTCACAATGTATGCTTACCTCTTATTTCTCCATAAACATACAATTCTCTGACTTACAGTATTGTAGACATAGTACCACAGCTGCTCCTGAAAGCATGTCTAGTCCTCTTATACATCATTCCATCAACATTTGCTTAGTTTCTTAATTTGTGATTTGAAAAATCATATTAACCTGCTGCTCTATTTTTGTGATTCTTTATATTGGACAAAAAAGTGAGATGTGATATGGTCATCCTAGATTCCAGGGTGATTTTGCAGCTGACCCTTATGTATAACAGATTTTAGGATTATCCTTAAATCTTTGCCAAAGTAGTTGGAGTCCTATGTCCTTGAAATCCCACCAGTAATCAATATTCTAATTCAAAATATAAAAACCATAAGGTCATAGAAAACTGGTATATTTAACTTCTTATGGTTTTTGGATAATTCCTTCCTTGAAATAATACTTTGTTTTAAAAGTTACTTCTTGCTTTTTGTGATTTATTTCCAACATTTCAAAGTATTAGGATATTTTAGAAATAAAAACACCTTATTTTTGCCTAACACTCAAATATTTAATTGATCTTCATAACATCAGAAGGGTAGGTAATAGGGCTGGGGCTGTAGGTCAGTGGCAGAGTGCTTGTCTAACGTGTGAGGCACTGGGTTTGATCCTCAGCACCACATTTAAAAAAATAATAATAAAGGCATTCTGTCCATCTACAACTACAAAAAAAAATTTAAAAATAAGAAATGTAGGCATTAGTAATCATTCAATTATTACTGGTTGAATGGATGATCATTAGAAGATATTAGGAAACCTGATTTTTGCAAGGCTCTATTACTTGCCAAACTATACACTTGCTAAACAAACTGCCTGCCATCAAGTCTAATACTTTTTTCCTAGTAAACTGTTATTTCACAAAAATTCAACATAAAAGCTTTTTTGAATAATAATGTATTAGGACATATCTAGGAAAATATTCAATGCTATACGTATCAAACTGTTTAAAAAGTGTTATTGGGGTGAGGATAGGGTTAAGGTGAACTTTCACTTTTCCTGATATATATTTCTGTAAAGTTTGAATTCCTCAATAGCATGTATCAACCTAAAAATATTTTTGGAGCTGGGCATTGTGATGCATACCTGTAATCCCAGCAACTTGGGAGATGAGGCAGAAGTATTACAAGTTCGAGGCCAGCCTCAGCAATTTAGCAAAGCCCTAAGCAAAAATATTTTTGGAGCTGGGCATTGTGATGCACACTTGTAATCCCAGCAACTTGGGAGAATGAGGCAGAAGGATTATAAGAGACACTAAGCAATTTAGCGAGACCCTGTCTCAAAATAAAAAATAAAAAGGGGCACTGGGGTTGTGGCTCAATGGTAGAACGCTTGCCTGGCATGTGTGAGGCCCTGGGTTAGATCCTCAACACCACATAAAAATAAACAAAGTAAAAAATTCATTGGCTGGGCTGGAGATGTGGCTCAAGCGGTAGCGCGCTTGTCTGGCATGCGTGCGGCCCGGGTTCGATCCTCAGCACAACATACAAACAAAGATGTTGTGTCTGCCGAAAACTAAAAAATAAATATTAAAATATTTTAAAAAATTCATTGGCAACAACAAAAAAATTTAAATAGATAAAAATAAAAAGGACTGGGGATGTGGTTCAGAGGTAAAGTATCCCTGGGTTAAAGCCTCAGTACCAAAAAAAAAAAAAGTATATATTATATATCTGTATACATATGGAGAATTAATTATTATATATTATATATGCTTTCTAATAAAATCATTAGAGAATTTACCATAAATTTTAAATTTTTAACATTTTTTAATTAATAAGATTCAAAAGTAACTCTTATTTGTTAAATTATAACAGCTGCCTTATAATTAAATAAAGTTGAATGTCATTCCCTTAAATTTCTCTTTTCAACAGGCTCCCATCCACCCTCTTTTTTTAACCCTCACTATACTAGCAGTGACTAGTATGTCACGTCATTATCATTATGATTGTAATATTATAAACTCAGGTAAAATACTTGCCATATTAATTCTAGTATCCCCAGTAGAAGACTCTGTCACATAGAGTAGTTCCTTATTATTTATACA